CTTAAATAAACTGTAGTTAAGATCAAGAATATCTTGATAGGGTCTGTTTCTCCATAATGGATATTTCTTAATTAGCTCTGTATCACTGATATGATATTATAAAATGTCTTTGCACATTTTCCCACGAGTACACAATTTTGAGGGCCATTTTTCCCCTTCTTCACTTAGTGTATTGTGATCTTGATGTGGCCAGATAAGATTAGTGCTTGAGGAGATTAGAGGTGTGTATTGCATTTAAAACCCACTTTGAAAATAAAGGGTGATGTGCATATTATTCAGCTTTTGCACTGCCCTTTTTATGACTTCAGATCCTCTAAAACAGAAGTTTTCAAAGTATAGTCTAAAGATTCCTGGAGGGTTCCTGAGACACCCCCGACCCCTTTCAGAGGGTCTGTGAGGTCAAAACTATTTTGTCATAATATGAAGACATTTCCCTTCACTTATGAAAGTACAGTAGAATTTTTCAGAGAGTGCATAATGTGTGGTTTTATAGTAGACAATGCAGAACCGGAGGAATCCAGCTGCCTTGTATAAACTAGAAATTAAAGAGACTTGTAAAACTTCAAAAAAATAGCACAGAACTCTAAATTTTTTTTGTTTTAGAAAATATATTCTTATTAGAAAATGTTTATGTCAATATGGCATGAATTTATTGTTTTTTAAATAAATTAGTATTTTTTTAATTCTCATTTTTAACCATTAATGTAGTAACTAATGTTAGATATAACTCATAAACAAAAAATTCTTGGAGGTTTTCAATACTTTTTTTTTATTCCAAAGGGGTCCTGCGACCAAGAAATTTGAGAACTGATGCTCCCAAAATGTTCCTGCTTCTAAAAATTGTATCTCCTTGGGGGAAGACAAAGATCATTTAGCACGTTTTCCTTTTTGCTTGGCTTCCTGACTTGAGATAATGTCAAAATTAAAAATACTCACTATTGGGCGCCTGGGTGGCTCAGTGGGTTAAGCCACTGCCTTCGGCTCAGGTCATGATCTCAGGGTCCTGGAATCGAGTCCCGTGTCGGGCTCTCCGCTCAGCGGGGAGCCTGCTTCCCTTCCTCTCTCTGCCTGCCTCTCTGCCTACTTGTGATCTCTCTCTGTCAAATAAATAAATAAAATCTTTTTAAAAAAAATACTCACTATTGATTAAAGGCAATCAGTGGATCCAAGCAAAAATACAATAGTGACTCCTATCGTTTTGTTAGTCAATACATTTAAATGCCTCCTACCACGTGTACATGATTATATCTCGACTTTTAATAATCTTTCTACACCAAGTAATTTATAGCAAATGATTCCTGCCTATATTTTTAAAAGCGCATGACCTTCAGTATTTCATTGCTTTTTTTTGTTTTTAAGTTTGTTCCTCTGTTTGTGCATAGCTCCTAAATCTATTATTTTTTCTAAAATTTTTCCCCAGTTATCTGGTCTAGCTCTCCTCTATGGAGTGCCAAATGGTGTTGTTTTGTTTTGTTTTGTTTTACTTTGGACTTAGACACAAAACTACCATTTCTATTCAAGAAAGCCAGAACAATATTTAATAAGAATCTTTATATGATTGGTACTTTGCTAAACCAGTGCTTGTAAATTTATCTCATTTGTTGCTATTGTGTTGCTATTTTTGGTGTCCTTTTCTTCCCAAAGCAATGGAGTCTCTTAGTTGGGTTAGATTGGGAGTGGGGGAGATCAATATTTTCCATTGATCCCAAACTGCAATTCTTAGGTATGTTCCAAAGCAACTCTATGAGAAACTTGCATTTTTGCCTTCAAACTCAGCTAATGCAAGATATAGCATCTTCCTCCTCAGGGGTCTGGTGGGTTTTCCCTGGGTGTCACTAAGGCTTAACATGGTCCTCTGCCTTCTCACCAATCCTCCTCTTCCCATGACCTTCCCACTCCTCCATCATTCTCCCCTCCTCTCCTTCACCATGATTCCCCTCTCATGTCCACCCTACACAATCAGGCATCTGTTTGGGAGTCACACAATGGTCGGGTTATGGCTCTACTACCACATGCCTACACTAGAATCCCAACTCCATGTATCTAGTTGTGAAGTTGCACATGTCTCTGATCTTTTTATGCCTCAGCTTTCTAATTTGCAGAACAAGCATTAATATGATTTACCTCACGGAGCTGATACGAAGATTAAACGAGTTGATAGATACAAGGTGTTTATAATAGTGCTTGGAATACAGTAAGTGTGTAGGACATTTATGATATTATTGTCTACACTTTATAATTATCCACTAGAAAAAGTGAGCTTGACCTGACAAGACAGGAGCAAAAGCAACTTTCTTTTGTCTCATGATTGTCCTGGCAAATCAACTCTGTGAATCCATTCTTCTCCGTGAATAAAATTTCAAGCCATTCCCATAGCTTTTCCAGTCACTCTTGGGTAAGGGAAAGACCAAAACTTTAGACTTGTCCAACTTTAAACTTCCTCCTTCCCCCAATGTGGACCTTGGAGATCTATAATTTGTAAACAGAGGGAATAGGAATACTTGTTAGTTTCTTCTCTTTCTCTTGCTCTTTACCCTCCACCTGATCATGCTCCTTCTAGGGTTGTTGTGAGGGTGACAGTGAGGAGAGGGAGAAGAGATGGAGGGTTAGCAACGGTCTTCCCAGACTGGTACATTCATGGTCCAGCATCTGTGGTCTCTGGGTGTGGCCAGTGTCAAATGCCTGATGTTCTTTCCATGTGGGACACCATAGATGGCTCTACAGAGACCCATTGCAGGACAGTTCTCTCACTTCAGGTACTCTGAGGAGTCAGTGGTTCCTCAACCGCCTATGCCACCTCCCTCATGTTCTGCTTCCTGAAATGCTGAGGCAAGATGGCATCACCCCAGCACAAAACTTATGCTTATGTCTGGTTCCTTTCTGCACAGTACACATTGAACCTGTGAGAAATGTGTACCCTTGTTTAGCTCTTCCTTGAGGGCAGCTGAATCTCACTGAGGCACTCTCTTCTTACTCCCTGTTCTAACCACCTCTGTTTTTCACAAGTGAGCTGGATATCAGTTCCTGTTTCACCAAATCACTAAGTGAGACATGTCAAGCACCACAAACTGTGACATTGAAGCTATCCACCTTCTCTTACTTGGCTTACAAAGAAAGAAGAGACTCTCTCCCTTCCTGTAGGGGATAGGAAAGGAGAAAAACTGAACTACCCTGGCTATTTTTTCTCTTAACCCAACAGAAAAATGGGCAAATGATATAAATGGGTAGTTCACAGAAGAGGAAAACCAAAAAGCCTATACTAGGCCAGTAAACAGAGAAAGACAAATTAAGCCAAACATAAGATACAATGTTTACACTGTAGCTCAGCAAAAGTTAATTGCACACATTTGGTAAAGATGTTAGGAAACCGTAAACACACTGTTTGTGTGAGTAAATATTGATGGAGTTTAAAAATTTTAAACCTACCTTTTGACCCCACCAGATCTGCTTCCAGCTATCTGTCCTAAAGAAACACAAGCAAAGGGGCGCCTGGGTGGCTCAGTGGGTTAAAACCTCTGCCTTCAGCTCAGGTCATGATCCCAGGGTCCTGGGATCGAGCCCCACATCAGGCTCTCTGCTCAGCAGGGGAGCCTGCTCCCTCCTCTCTCTCTGCCTGCCTCTCTGCCTACTTGTGATCTCGGTCTGTCAAATAAATAAATAAACAAAATCTTTAAAAAAAAACTAATTAAAAAAAAGGAAACACAAGCAAAAACACCCAAAACCCAAGTGCTAGAAGGCTTATTACTGCATTATTGGTAACTTTTAAAAACTTGAAAGTCCACCAGAAAGGGACTAGAAAAATAAATTATGCTACATTCAACAAAATGGATACAAATGTTAAATAGAATAAGCTATAGTGGTTTGTGGGAAAGGTTTCAAAGACGTATTGTTAAATGAAAGAAAACCTGTAAAAATTAATATTAATCATACATTTATGTAAGAAAATGGAAAAATCAGGAGTATTTCCTTGCATACATATATTCATGTTTGTGAATTCATAGAAAAACATTCAAACCATTTCAAAGTGAAGAGTGATTAATTTGGAGAGGGATCTGAGACTAGGGAAGCAGGATCAGTAAGACTTCCACATTCACAGTAAGAGTATGTTACATGTGTGATAAAACATAATTTACAAAATAATTTAAAATAGAATGAAATGAATGGAATTGCTAGAAGCAATCTTTAAGATCAGCTCAAATATGCCACTCTGTATTGGTAGTTGGATTTACTAATCTTCAGAAAAGCCTATAAGAACATTTATCATCTTTAAACAGTATTTATCATATTAAGGATAGTCCTCTATAATAATTACTCATATCTAAATGCCTGTTCAAACAATAATTATTAAGTCTTTGCTGTGGTTGTGAGCTTCTAAAATGACACATATAATTATGCTTTATTCAGATAATAAACCAGAAAAATTTCAATGCATAGAACCTTGACTTTACTATAATAATAATTAATGGATTTGAACTTACATAGTTATATGCATAAAGAGAACTGCAACTTATATTCTCTAATGAGTAAATTTTTTATTTCTGACAATTGGTTTCATACACTTTAAGCTGCATTTCAGGGCATCTGGGAGGCTCAGTGGGTTGGGCCTCTGCCTTCAGCTCAGGTCATGATCTCAGGGTCTTGGATCGAGGTCTGCATCGGGCTCTCTGCCCTGCAGTGAACCTGCTTCCCCTTCTCCCTCTGCCTGCCTCTCTAGCAAATTGTGATCTCTCTCTGTCAAATAAATAAATAAAAGTCTTTAAAAATATATTTAAAAAAATAAATTGCATTTCACTTTTAGGTAACTGTATATAAGCTGTTCTTAAATTATGTATAGTATAAACTTATTTTCTTTTATGGTGTTTATTTTTAAATGATCATATGTGTGTGTTTTGAATCATATAACATAGTAAAGGATATTCTGATTCTGAAAAGATTAAACATAAATGTTGGAACCATAAATACAGTTACTGGAATGTTACTCCATTGTGTTCCCTATTTAGTACCTACATGAAAATGGGATTGTCCATCGTGATCTCAAACCAGAGAATCTTCTCTATGCAACTCCAGCCCCAGATGCACCACTCAAAATAGGTGAGGACATTTCATGAAGTCTTATGACCCCTTTCCCAGAGCAGAAGAAATGTATTCCATGGAATTTAAAAATATTGTTCCATCTAGTTTTGCCTCCATTTAATTTCCTTGGGTATTTGGTGTCTGTAAAGGAATAACACATTGTTTTGGAAGTCTGTAGTCCTTTCCTGATATAGTCATCTGGAATCAGTGCCTAGAAGTTGGTGCTCCAGTTCTGGACACCAAGGAAACATAGCTCTTAGAAATAGCTGGGACTTCGAAAGGTGATGGTATATTTTGTAAGTTTATATAGAGGAAAATCACAGATAACATAACACTTCTTTTTTTGTTACTTTTTATTCCATAAATTAGTTGGAGCTTAATTTTAGATATTCAAGAGCTTTGACACAAAATGCTTAGTACATATCAGTGGATTAAGGATCTGAGTCACTTGTTTACATGAACAGAGATAAACTGAGGTCTGTCTCTCCCAAAGTGCACTCCACAGAACACCGGTTCCTCAGCTGAGGGAACAAGAGTAAATATTCTAATTTGCTTTGGGGAAGGTGGGAGTGGTTTGCGGAAGTGCTAAGGTTGGTGAAATAAGTTAGGAAATGCCAAATTAAACAAATTTTTTTATTTCTGCAGGACTAACCAGAACTCTAAAAATGCTAATGTGTAAACTGACGTCTAGATTAGTGTGTTAGACTTTTCCCAAGCCTTACTTGACTCTGGGAACCTTGCTTTTTCTCCCAATAAGCATTTTGAAGAACTACGAGGATGAACTTTGTGTAATTCCAGTCTACTCAAAGAGTTCTTTAAATCAGCATTTTAGAAAAAAGTGTATTAAATGTTATTTCCCTTGTCTTTTAGCTTATATAATAATAATATAATAATAACAGAACTTATTTTATAGGAATTCTCCTTAGCAGAATCTGTTAAATCCTCTGAAGGACATTGTTCTTTTGGTGGCTGGTCTGTGTAATGTTAATCTGATAAGTTCACTGCATTAGAAGTGTTAACACCTTTGAAAATTAAGTTATACATATCCTGGAAGAGCCCAGACAACATAATGTGCTTTATGAATGCAAGAACCCAAAGAAAAAATACCAAAGTCCTGCTAGGCAGCCAGCTTGTTCTTCTAATCACTCCTGAAAGGCAGTGAACAGCAGGGAGACTTCCATTTCCTTTGACATCAATTTCAAAGATTTTATCCTTAAAGAAATTTCTTTAAATGGATGGATAGATACTAATTTAGACAGGAGAGGCTTTCTTTCTGAAGGACTTCCTGCTGCTTTCCCTGATAAGGATCAGCACCTCCGTGGAAATGTGGGTTTATCTTTGAAGTCTAAAATGGCATCAATTCTGCACTTGCCTCTCTTGAAGAATGGCCTTCAATGGTTTCCTGATGTTTCCTGAGTGAGAGAGAAGTAGCCCAGCAAATAGACCATAATGGTAGTAACTTTGGGTAGTGTTTTACCTAAGTAATATTCTGAGGAATAAATAAAGAGCATTCTTGGAAAAAAAAAAGTGTTATATATTCCTCATATGAGAGTAAATCCTTATCCATAAGATACACATTTGAAACAGAATGAACCTTTTGATATTTCTGCTCATGTCTTTGACATTCACAAAAACCTATTTTTTTATTTTGATTTCTCCCCATGAATTACTAATTCTATATCACTAATTCTATGTTGTACTTTAGAGCTACTGTTTCATAAATCTCAGAGTTAACATTAGACAAAATATATTTGTTACAACTGTTATTTCAAAAATAAATATCTTATTTGCCTAAAGCTGGGATTTATAGAGGAAAGCATAAAATGTATTTGGGAGTCATATTTTTCTCCAATTTAAAGCAAGATTCAAATTTTTTTTTTCAGTTTCCTCTCCCAGGTGACTTGTCCCCTTCTTCATTCCCCCCTCCTCCCATCGCCAGATACCAAAACAAGTAAAAACAAATGAGTCCGTTTTATTTTGAATAATAAAAGTATTCTGTCATCTTATAAAAGCTGAGAAAAGACTTGTTTCATTAAATTTTTCTCTTGTGTTGTTAGCTGATTTTGGACTCTCTAAAATTGTGGAACATCAAGTACTCATGAAGACAGTGTGTGGAACCCCAGGGTACTGCGGTATGCTCTTTAATATTGATGTTTACTTTTACAGTTATTTGAAATCTACTTTTATTTAGGGATCTGATTTTTAAACTCCTAATATCTCTATTTAAAATGCTTACAAAGTGGGTGATGCCTGGGTGGCAGGGTCGGTTAGGTGTCTGACTCTTGATTTTGGCTCAGTTCATGATCTCAGGGCTGTGGGATCCAGGCTTATGTCAGGCTCTGTACTCACTGGGGAGCAGGCTTGGGATTCTACCCCTCCCTCTCCCTCTGCCTTCCCCCCTACTCTTCTCTCTCTCTCTAAAAAATGAAAAATAAATAAATCTTTAAAATGCTTACAATGTGATGTGAGTCTTCATGAGGAAGGCACATAAAAACGATACTCAGAGCACTTCTTTTTCTCCATGAAGGGTTCAGTGATGTTGGTTTTAGGGTATCCCTCTTAACAGGGAAAGAGGGAGCCTCAGGGGGTAAGGATTGGGTACTCTGCACCTGTCTTTTGGGCAGTAACTTCTCGTAAGCCCCTTAGGAGTAGAAGGACAGTCACCAAGAAAAAGAATAAGGGAAAAGCTTTGTTTCTGGTCAGAAATAGAGCCATGAGCCCTCAGTCACTTTCCTTATTTGCTTTTATTTGGGGGGGGTGGGTGTGTGCAGAGAGAGTATGTCATTAATTCAGAGGGCATATAGGATAACAGAGAGGATGGGGTAATCCCTAGTTCTTATTGATGGCGCTTTTCTATCCTTACTAAGACCAGAGCTTCAGGTGGGGTTCCCCAGCAGAGTCCCGCAATCTCTGGAGATGGACTGTGTGACTGTCCTCACACATAACTAACTCAGTTTAGCAGCTTTTGAATTCATGGAAATCAGACTGTAGAAGGCACAGTTAGATATCCAGTGAAGCAAATATATGATTAAATTCCCAGATTTGTAGCTAGAAGAAGCTTTAAAGTTCACTTACTAACATTCTCATTTTGAGTTCCAGAGTATGACTTTCCCAAGATTCCATATCTAGTTGTTATGGGTCAGAGATGAGAATCCAGGTAGCCAAGGCCCTAAAAACAGATTTATAAAATTCCCTCTTCAAAAAAGAAATATAGGTAAAATCGATATAATTTTCCTTCATAAAAATATCTATCAGTTATTACTTATAGCTTAAAATATTTTTTTAAGATTTTATTTTTAAGTAATCTCTAAATCCAGTGTGGGGCTCAATCTCACAACCCCAAGATCAAGAGTCACATGCTGAGCCAGGAAGATGCCCCTAAAATGTTTTTTATTTTAGTGTTTTAAATCTCAAAGTATTACTTGACCATTGTAAGAAGTATGTGTAATCCACGTATGTGTAATCAGTATTAATAGCCTTATGTATTCTTCTTCGTCTTTCTCCATATTTCCATAGTCTCATAAACATTTTATGTTTGCTTTTAACTAGTTAGCTTCCCTAGTGAATCTAAAATATTATTTCCTTGTAGCTCAATTGTTCATAAACCCAATAATTACACAGAATTAAGTATACCTGTCTTTTTATTAAGCATTTACATTGTACCAAATATTCTTGTTCTGGATCTTAAACTCCTCGACAATAAGAGTAGCTTATCAATTAGGAGTAAATTCAAAAAACTCCAGGTAACTGAGGCTTAAACAAGGTAGAAGTTGATTTCTCTCATGTTAGAAGTCTAGAGAAAGACAATTCTCATGGGTTCTGCAGCTATGGCTCTGTAGGTCTCAGTGCCAAGGATCCAGACCTTTTCTGTCTGGCTCTAGCATTCTTTTGCATGCGTCCTCAGAGTCCAAAATGGCTGTTTGAAATCACTCATTACATCTGCATTCCATGTGACAGGAAGGGAAGAGGGGGAGAGTATACCTTTTCACTGTTAAATAGACATGCTGAAGCTCCATGTCACTTTCACTTACATTGTTTTGGCCAGTCCTCAGTTACAGCCTCCATGTCCTTCAGGTGGACATGTTGATGCTGCAAATGGATTCAGGGTACTTTTACTAAGTATGAGTAACACATTAGACAGCTCACTAGCTCTACCACAGACTTTATTAAGGAGTAGGATTCCCATTCCTAGAACAAAACCCATTGAAATATGCCATGTTCCCTATAGGCATATTCTTGTTTTGTTTTTATATATTTTCCTTAGAACTGTTAGCTGACAACCTGTGCATGACCCGTTCCTTCTAATGGTGCCATAGATATTTTCCCTTTCTCTAGTTCATATGTCCTTATTTATCATCCTCCTGTATTTCTTTCATGACTCCCTACACTTCCACGGCTATGAACGAAAAAAGAACCCTGAATTTAGTACTGTGTCCCAGATGGGTTTGCCCATTTGTGAGTACTAACTGCTGACCACTTGATGAAAGCATTTAAAGAGAATTGACAAAAGAATGATAAAACAAAGTAAGGATTTCCCAAAAGAGAAAAGCTGATGGGCAGTTTAGTAATCATTATCTGATAGCAAACACCTACTATTCCAAAGAGATAGTTTGGTTGGAGCAATTCTCTGAGAGTTAGCAGCCTTGAAATGGGAAGTTCAGGAAGAGCTTACACTAGCATCATTTCAGTGGCTTTGATAATAGTGATAAGAGCAGTTCTTTCTTGAAGCATTACAGAATAGTCATTCTATGAGTGACTGATTTATTCATTGATAAAATGAACATTGGATGTCTAATAGACTCCATGTTAGGCACTGAGATTACAAGAGTGAACACCATATGGTCTTGTCCTTCCAGGATTTCATAGGCTATTAAAGAAGAAATACTCATATACAATAAATCAAAGTTTGTTATGCTAAGTTCTGTGTTTGAGCTAAAGGCTTAAGGATACAGGGAAGAGGGAAAAATACATCTTCCCTAAAGAGGTTTTTACAGAGGAGGGCATTTGAGCTGGACTCTGAAAGTTGAATAGCAGTTCAAGTAAAGAGGTAGTCACAAGGTATTCTTTATAAGCAGGCAAAGGAAGAGAAAAGTCATAGAGGAGTGGTAGCATCTGGCAGGTTCAAGGACTGTTGGTTACTTTCTCATTTTACACGATTGCAATATAGAGTTTTTGGTAGCCTTGGTAGACTTTTCCAAGATAGACTTGGAAAAATAGGATGGATCATATTTTTTAAAATAATCTATAAATCAGGCTAAGGAATTCAGACTTTTATTGGTAGATTATAGTGATCCAGCAAAGGTTTTTTATCAGTGTAATTATATTTTAAAATCAAATCTGTATCTTACAGATATCTTGATAATGACATTGTGACAGATGGATTGGAAGGAGAAAAAAAGTTCAAAAGAAGACAAATTAGAAAGCTATTATAAATTCTCTTTCCTGTCCTTCTGATGTCAGAAATCTACACACAGGGTGCTTACTGTCATTCCTATTAATAGCTTCTCAGAATAATGTATTCAACCGGTGCTCCATCCAGTCATTTATTTTTTAAATATAAAATGATTATGAAAATACTATTTCAGACTCCTGTCATTGCCATAAACAGGCCCATCTTACAGATAATGCCATCTAATAATGGAGGCTTATTTTCCGTTTACTATTTAATTTTCCCGGCAGATACCCACATCACCCTAAAGGCTATGTAATGGGGAAGGAGGAAATTGGTTGACTGAATGTGATCCATATAATCCTTCTGCTGTGCTCTACATAGAGGCTCACCAGGAAGCCCTAATTTGCTTTAGGAAAAGGCTGAGAAAGCAGAAAGGAAGCTGGGGGTGGAGGGAGGAAGGATTGAGAGGGAAAAATAGAAGTGCTCTGTGGACTCTGAAGTGCTACACATGTGTGTGGAATTACTATTATATAGGCTGAGGCAGGCTTGGAATTCAAAAACAAGTAAGTTTGATGTGTTTAATTACAAGATCAGGGTCCAAATTACATATAAATAAACATATATTTCTTCATACATACATATTTCCCAAAGGAAATATGCTAAATTTTACTCAAAGTGAGACTAGAGTCGGGGTCAGGATTTTAAGAATCCACCTGTGTATAGTAACACAGAAAACACTGGAGGGGCTGAGTTAGGGAAAAACAGACGTCACAGTGACACCAAGGCACAGGAGGTGGATGATCTAGAGCAGAAGAAAGATGCAGAGTTTAAACTCTTAAAAAAAAAATCAATAAAATAATATTTCTATTCATCTGTCTTAGAAACAGACTGTTCATAGGCAAGACTGAAGCCCCTTTGAGGGTCCCTCAGTTCTAGCCTTTCTCCCCACACCTCATGTGAGTACTGTCATGGGGTGGTGTGTCTTCTCTGAGAATACTTAGGTGGGGAGGAATCTGCCCATAGATAGAATGAGTTGGAAATGAGAACCAAGTGCAAGACTGGTGGGAATCACTGCCATCCTACAGAAAGCATGACTTACACAAAGACTTTACATTTGACTTGAAAAGGGATCTGAAGCCCGTATAATTGATGGAGAGGAGAGGTGTGAGCTTGTTTCCTTGCTTGTTGTAAGGATAATTACATCCCAGGTCAGTTAGCCTCATGTACACTGGGTCTAGTTTCTACCTTTACTGAAAGACTTTCTCAGTTACATCTTTTGAGGGAGTGGGTATTTATATTATACCATCTGTCATTTGTCAGGAAATAGACAAGTGAAAAGCCACCCATTCAGTTTCATTCATGGAACCTTTGCCCCAGGCTATTAATAACAGAGGGTTCTCCTATAAGTGAATTGCAAAAGAAAAATCACAGATGCTGTGTGTTTAAGCAAATACTCATTATTTCCTGGGAAATGTGCCCAGTTGAAAATAAACTCCAGGCCAGAAAATTAAAATCTGTGATCCAGATAAATGAAATCAATGAGTAGTGCTCTGAAATAACCATGAAGAAATTCCCCACATCTTGTTGCTGGGAAAAGAAATAGGTCTCAAAAAAAACAGAAAAAACAACCCCCCCCCCAAAATCCATTAGGTCATGGCTCTTGATAAATGGGCCACAGTGTATATAACCAAAATGTCTTGACTGGTTTAGCTATTTAAGGCTTGAAGTCTGTGCTTGTTC